ATTGGTATCACCATCACTTTACTAAAGTGCAACGTAAGGAGAGACAACCCCGAATATGAATAACAGAGATAATTATTGTCGGGATTCAATGGCGTAGCTACGCCCCCCCCCCCCCAATCGAATGTCAAAAAAGGAGAGATAAGAGTGATGGGAGAGATTAAGGAAAAGGAAAAAAGAATGACAAAATATACATGTAAGAAGATAGATTGCTCGAAAACGCTCTTCAAAGATTGTAGTATTATGTAAATTAGTAACGTGGAGAGAACTGTTGTAAAAGGTGCATGGAACGATTATCGAAAATTTCTTTGGGGGCGATCCTATCTGTGTCCTTGATGTAGCGTACATCAGAGAAGAAAAAGGAAATGGAGATAAGAGTAAAAGATAGAAGACATTCGGGAAAAGAGACAGAGAGAGTATGAATGTGTGTCCGTTTCACTCCCGGCCTAGACATTATGACAACTCAAATGTTGTCCTCTAGTCTAGTACAGAGTTTTCAACCGGGTGCTGCGAGAATGTTTTGAAATAACGTCAACTTCATGGATACAAAGTATCAGAAACCGCTAAGTGCCCAAATATATATCTCACTTCGGGTATTTTTATGAAGGAGTAACATTTCAGAGATAGTAAAGTGTATTATTCCTCGCTCGCTTCTCTCGCTCGCAGGATTCAGAAACAGGATAGTTCAGACAGCGAGGTTCATGAATATCCCCATATATTACATTGTAATAAAAAGATATCCGGGCAACTCGCTGCCCGAATATCGACATGATTCGGGCAGCATATGGCATTATAACCTTATTGTATTTTTGTTACCGAAATTAAATTTTATGCTACACCAAAGTGTCTTTTCCCCCCGCTCGCTTCACTTCTCGCAAAATTGATAAATTGGGATGATTTCCGGCAACGAGATGACTGATCCCACGCTACGCCCTTATTTGCTATTTATTAGTGTTATTTGACATCATTGTTGGAAGGGGTACAAGGGAGGTCTTCCAATCAGTAACATAAGCAGAGATGGATTTAATGAAATAAACTGCAGAAAAGGTTGTGTAAACACTGTTTTTTCAATTTGTCTTTTGTATCTGAACGATGAATTAAATGTGTGTGTTTCTGTGGGTGTGTGTGAGAGAGAGAGAGAGAGAGAGAGAATATATGTGTGTGTGTGTGTGTGTGTGTGTTCAATATCTCTAGTTAAAAGGGCTCCTGTGTTCATCAGTTTAGTGGGACATTCAGACAATCGAGGATTCGGCCTCTCATGAGCAGTAGAAAAGCGAAGTTGAAAGAGAGAAGACGATTGTTCTGAATATAATATCTTTATAATATGGACAAAAGTAACACTATTTCAAATAAAGCATGTAGAGAAAGTGCTGTATCGCACATATGATAAGGTGTGTGTGTGTGTGTGTGTGTACGAGTTCAAAATATGTTTAAAAACGCTACTCTGACGATCATGTTAATGGTGACGTTTTATAAGCAATCGAGTATTTGGCCTTTAAAAAGGCGTCATAAGCAATGTGTCGATGGCTATGAAGAATACTTTAATCTATTAATGACATTGAAATGTAAAGTGCATCATTTAAATGAGAATCTAAAATCATTTATATTTACAGAGGTCTGGTTTTTCTGTAGTAAAACCCAGACTGGTGTTTCATTGCATCGTTATTTTCCAATTCGGCAACGTGTTTTTTAAAAACTTTCCATCATACTCCCTCTAGAATGCCCGTTGCTAGTCAATGAATAAATTGTTTCAAGTTTTAAGAATTGTGGGCAATACCGTGGGTACTCCCTTTAAACTCGTCTCAAAGCCTTGTACGACATGACATGGGCTGACGCGTCACGTTCGTGAGGGGTGACACCAATTTGAAATGGCACACAAATGAATTAGGTCTTTTTCGCGATCAGCTGTCGCTTTTGAGTCTGAACAATGGGTGTTTACCGCAAACCGTCAGGGGGGAAAATTCAACATACCCTGCGGCAACACTAAATCATGAAAAAGGCACCTATCAATATCTCAGCTTTTATTTTCCTTAATCTCTTTGTCATTCCACTATATTTGTTTTTCTCTCTCTTTCTTTCCCTGTAGCTCCTGACATGTCTATTTATTTCGCTTTCGAAGGATTCTTCTTTTCACGGTCCATTACATTCAATCTGAAGAAGCTCTAGAAGGCTCTTCTATTTCTTTGGTCCTAACCATGTTGGCTTTCCATCGCTGCCTTTCAGTCTCTCCCAGGGCTTCCCTGATTCTGATCAGGGGCTGTACTATAGGCACGGTCGATTACATATACTATTTGTAAATCATTATATTGCCTTGCTATCTTGTTAAAACGATTGCCTTCACAATCAATAGCCTGCTTTGTTAGGAGGGGTTGTGTCCATTGTCTGTTGTTTGTCATGTTTGGTTGTAACAAGATCATCATTTCAAAGCTTGGCAATTAACTCCAAGGGACGATGCTATTACATTATAAGCCTCAGCGTGCCATCAATAAATAGCCAACTCTGTCGGATTGAAAACCCTTCCATACAAGTGTACTTCAATAGGATGGTCCCTCTTTTTTTTAAACATTTTATATTTCCCAACAGAACAATCGATTAAACGATTTCACTCAAAAAGTTCGGGGTTTCGAAAACAGATCTCCTGATAAAAAGAAAAGATCAACAAGCAAGTGGAAAAAGACTGCGTTTGCTTAACATCACATAGATTATGTTAGTCAATGTGTCGTAATCATGGTACCATTCTTTCTAAATGTATTTATGAAAGCTATATTTCTTGCACACATTTAGTTGGTCTAGTGCGAAGAAAAAAGTCCTCGAGACCACATCATTCAATAGTGATGGATTTACGCTGTTTGATACCTACGACACAAACTTTCATAAACCTTTTTATGGTATCATATTTTGGTATAGCCTACGAAGTGTGATAGTTGCGAAATATCAAGATCGTAATACATTTACATTTCCCTTTTGTATTGGAATGATAGCCTTAAAAATAAATGAAATTGATAAGGATGAACGAAGACATTTATCCGTCTTGAGAAGCGCTTGTTGCATTAGGTTTCGAGAAAAAAAGTATGAAGCCAATGTTTTACTTTAAGCTATGAGATGTGTTTGTAAAAGCTTCACAGGAACCGATTCTTTTTTCTCGTGCGCTGTCCTATTACTCAGTCTACAGGACTTGAAAGGTAATCTTTTAAAAATGTTTGCATCATTTCTTCCTAGTAGTATTAAGTATAATTTTTTGTGCGGGGGCGTAAATCTTTGAGACATAATTTTGCGGATGGAATTTTGATTCGTTGATCAGGTTTGCATATTGACTCATCAAGTTCGTGTTGAATACATGAACATAACTGAAAACTACCTTAATAATTAAATATTGTAATATAATTTATTTTTGCAGACTATATTAAAATCTTTTGGTGATGTAACGTTTGATAAATATCAGTCAGTTACAGTGTTTGAATATATGAAGAAAAAAAAGATACCCAAAAGGGGGAATGCATATTCACGTTTAAAACTGCCCCAAGCTAACCGTTTCTTGTAACAAAAGACAGGGAGCTACGATTTCGTAAACAAGTCCTTTATTTTGCCTAGTGCACTAAGTATTTGTCCTTCCGTATAAGCTACAGAAAATAACAGGGATTCAATCTCATCCTGCCCATTTACTTTTTCATTAGGACTTTTTGTATCTGTCGAAGCTCTATACGTGAATTGTTTTGGCAGGTAAAAGTTCAGTAATTGATTGATGTGTTTTTGAAAACTTATCGTATGCCTTGTTTTTAGGTACTACAAATCCTCTTCTGTTCAGGTATCACGAAGATGGATATATTGTCGATTGTAATCAGTTCTGAAAACACTTGGGCAAACAATATTGTTGCTTGTATCGATGTATTTTCACACACTAATCCCACGCATAATGGCATTTTCATGGATTCCGTATTGCTATGTCTAGAGGGCCTTTCCTTTCTTTTCTTTTCCTTTCTTTTCCTTTCTTTTCTTTTCTTTTCTTTTCTTTTCTTTTCTTTTCTTTTCTTTTCTTTTCTTTTCCTTTCTTTTCTTTTCTTTTCTTTTCTTTTCTTCTCTATTCTTTTCTTCTCTTCTCTTCTCTTCTCTTCTCTTTTCTTCTCTTTTCTCTTTTTCTCTTCTCTTTTCCTTTTCTCCTCTTCCCCTTTACTTTCTTTTTCTTTGTTTCTTTCTCTTGTATCCAAGTGAATGAATCAAACAGATTCCTTGAAAATATTCTGTATTCTAAAACACTTTAAAAAAAAACACCCAACAAAGATACAGCTTGGGAAAAGAATATGATGTTTTAGGGCGTATTCTCTTGTTCAGGTACAGGTTTAAACGTTATTACTATCAAAAGAATATACTTATTATTGGTGTCGCAACTTAAGGTTATATTTTTAAGAAATTGTAATTTAAAATAGGTGTGTGGTTTAACTGTTTGGAATATACATTTATATGATATATCGATTAATATTTTCAGTTCGATTTTATTTCCTATTACATGTTTTTAAGTATTAAAAATTGAATACAAAATACATATAACAAGCAATGGATATAATAAAATGAAAGTACAAAAAGATAAAATCATTGGAAAATGGCAGGCATTTAACAGAAAAGGTCTAGACTGTAAGTACGCATGCCGTGTAGCAACATATCTCCGGTACACATAGTATATATCCTACTTATGATAACGAAAAGAAAAATGAGGGAAATGTTGGGAAAACATAAATCAAAGGGAACTTATACATAAGAAAGATAGATTGAGTATTTGTGATGGAAATATTGTATTTATTACTTGTGTTGTGTTGATGATTTTCCATGTTTTGGGGCAAATATAAACGGTTCCTATGAGATGTTTGCAATCGTTCTGTATTTTGAGATATTACAAACCCGATGTCAAGAAAAGTAATAGAAATCATGAATGTTTTGCACCCGTGAATTGCAAGCTATGTCCATAAACAGATCACATATAATATAAAAACAAACATAAAACATATAGATGCATATTATTTCTTTGGATTTATTAAGCAATTGCATTTGCATTTTCGTAAATATATTTTTTGTACTGTGTTTACAGAGTCACATGACTGAATAACATTGAAATATACCATCAAATAATTTGATTCATAAACATACAATCGTCAAAGTTCGTTGGAAGAAGCGTTGTATAACTGGCAGATAACAAGCACAATGCCGTATGAATTAAGTCCGCCGCACGATGTACGATTCCACTGCGATCCGACTGCGTTTCGATTTGGGGAGATTTCACAGTTACATTAGATATTACATTTTAAAGAAATGTAATTTTCCTGATTGAGGTTCTGAATAATGATATGAAATTCTGAAATCAAATTTTGGGTACACTGTTAACTTTCTATTCGTAGTTGAGACCAAATTGGCTACACGTCGTAAACAATCGCACGACTTGTCTGACGTCTCTACGATCCTGAGCCGATTTACCGTTTCCAATCACAAGACTTGCAAAACCAGAAATTTTAATTTATTTCATATGACTACTCAGAATCTCGTTCATTATGATTTTAGATAATTTATTTGGGTTTACATATAGAATGCTAATGCAAATTCTTCACAAATCATTTATATTCAGATCAAATCGTTTCGTTTGCGATGGGCTTAAAACGCATTGTTCTCCAACACAATTCTTATAGACAAATTACACATTTTTAATTTATAAACATTCAAATAAATCCTTCAAAAGGACGGTCTCTAATGCACAAATGACTAGAATACATACTTTTCGAATGGCATTTCACAAAAATACATAAGGCAGGGAATGCTATGTTCACACACACACATTGAGTCAGCATGATATGAAAAACAGTTTCATGTTTTCTTAAAAAGGCATGTAGAAGAAATAAAATTTGTTCAAAACAAAAAATACACATGTACATCATTTATTTTTCGTTTGATAATATGAATCACCAAAACAATATCCAAACATGTATTGTTATATTAGAAGTGATATAACATGAAAATTATGTTTGAGTACATTTTTTCTGTATCTTACAGAATATGTATGATTGTATTACCTTTTCTTTAAACTATCGTCTCACTAGTTATAGGTCTCATTTCAGTATACATTTAAAAAAAAATCTATTTGAATCTTAGATACTAGTGAAATATAAGAAGATAAATAAAGGACATAAATAAAGGCCTTTTGTTCTTAAAATACATTACATTGAACGTCTTACATAAATAAAGGCCTTTTGTTCTTAAAATACATTACATTGGGCGTCTTACATTTGAATTGAGGTTGTTGATTTTCTCCGTAGATTTTGTATTTTATATTTAATACAATGTAGTATTAATTTTCTTTATGCTGAATGTATACGTTATTATGTATAGCATTCTAGGACAAATGAATTTCGAAGTACGAAACATAGACATCCATCTTTATAACTCAAATTAATATGCTAAAATATGGCTACATACTCGGGTGAAAATCTCTCAATTACTGATTATGGTAAATGAATTTCAAGGCTGATACAAAAACTTATTTCTAAACGTAGAATACAGAAAACAGATGTCCAAATAAGTACAGTCGTCGACATGTTAAAAATCATGATCACTGGATTGGCAAACGAAGGTGGCATATTTTATTTACATAAGTTTAAATCCTTCGTTACAAAAAGATAAAGAACATTGCACATTTACTATGCCTTCTCTTTCCCAGACACCTTGAGTCCTTAGCGTAATTTTTATAGAGAAATACAGAACAAAAATGAATCGAAATAGATTGACATGGGCTTTTAAAACCATGTTGTCGAAGGGTAAAACCTCGTTTACACACACGAAAATACCGCTGACACGTACACACATGCACAAACACGCACTCTCAGGCGCCCACATAGAAAAACATGTGATATCACTTATTAACACAATAATATTAGCCCGGCTTTAATGCAACACTTTGAAATGTTTAAACAATTCTTAAGAACCATGGGGGACCAAGATTTTGGTGAATCGAAATCACAATCAAAGATCAGTTAAGACCAGGTTGAAACTATATTAATTATGACCCTCACAGAAATCATTTAATATTAGTTCTAAATTAAAGTTTCAAATTATTTTGCGTAACAGCTTGAGTTTCCATGAGTCTTATAATTAGTAACGCTACATCTATTATTTCTCACCATCCAAATATCGTTACCACCCATCAATTTCCCACCGTAATCCAGTGATAAATTTCTTTTTCTTAGGTGGTGAAGTAAGTGGATTTGTATTTAACATGATTATTCAGAAGAAAATTAATTTTGCTGCGTTCATTTTATTTTTGGTTCTCATTTTGTTGTCAAGTTTCTTCAAGCCGCACAGTAGTCAATGTCCATGCGTATTGCATCATTATTCGCTGACTCAAGATTTGTTTGAGTTACGAATTAATGTGTACACATGTCTCTAAGGCAGGGAACCCATGGTCCCTCCTGAAAATACTCCAGCTTGCCTTCATATCTCGAGGGTGAGGGAATCGTTATTATAGTGAGAATGTATTATTGCAGTAAGTTCAGGGCACAGTGCATTACACAAGACCGGTCGGTCGTAGAAGTACACTCTTGATTATTGACAACACATGTTATTGGGAAAACACCCGAATGGCTTCAAATTCCCCATGAAAACGCACTTATTGTGATCCTAAATCGTTTATAATGAATGGAATTTTCATCATGTTCAATCTGAAATCTATATAATGGGTGATTCACTTTATGCTTTGACTGCAATCTTGTTTTGCAATAACGTACGCAATTACGAAACATTACAATGGGTTATGTCAATATTGATATCACATGTTTGTTTCATCAGTGTCTCACTCAGAAAAGTAAATATGAAATAGTTTCACCTCGCCCTGTTCAGAACGAGAACTACAATATTAAAGTTTATCTTTCTGCAAATATGTATATATTAATATATTGTCTTTTCTTGCAGAAATCCTGGAAAGTAAGACATCATTGACCATAAAACACACATCGATAAACAAGTCTCTTTCACACAGCATTGTTTTGAAAGCATTATGATTCAAGTATATTCTTCAAGAATACATGCATGTTTGTAGCCTCGCTCTTTCTGCATTTTGTCATGACTTTCCGTACTGGATGTAACATATGGCGTAGTGAGTGGTATATAGTTTTATCTTTCTTTCTTTATACCAGCCCATACTTTGTCAAAAGTAGCCATTTAATACCATCAGTGCATGGGTACGTAAAGCAATTGCAAAGTTGATGTGCACCAAAACTAGAGTATTATAGATAACGATTGCATTATTTCACACAGTCCATTATGCGATGGAAGGAAGATCTAAAGGTGAGGGTTTTTTTAAAAATAGATTCCATTAAAGGTTATAATATGTCCCATTTGCATGCTAACAAAATGAAAAGGCTAAATTCCAACGGCACTTAAAAGATAATACTAATTTAGAACTTCACTCAAAACGAAAGGGCTTGAAAATTCTTTTAGTTGGAAAATAACCAATAGTTGTCGAATCGAGTTAAGTGATTGCAATCCTGTTATTAATAGTCTGATTTTCAGACCCTTGTACAGAATGGTCGTACGTTTTGTGCTGCGCAAAGATTCAATCAGTTTAATTTTGGCCATTACAAGAAGTGGGTTATTGATCTACATCAATAATGCTCATTTTATGTATGTTATTACCAAAGAAGAAAAAAAAAGTCAGTCAGTCACTCAATAGTGTCTGACAGTGAAGTCTAGAAAGTAAACGGGTTTCCTTGCATAATTTGAATATCAGGACACTGCTAACTTTTAAATTTCACTGATAGGACATATGTGACATATTCATAATTCCTGCAAAATTTTACTAATTTTGATGTTGGCTGCAAATGGGACATAGTACCTTCAAGTGACCGGTTAATACACCAAGACATATCGTCATTTGCTTACTAAATATATTTTCCATAAATCACCGCTTAATACCTCATTCTCATTTGCTCAGTTGATTATCGTCCATAGCTTGGAAACCCCCGACGTTTGGTAACAAGTCTTTTAGACGAAAGTAAACATCTTTAATTGGTCTGGACTCGGGACGATGGCTTTGGGCATGATGAGTAGGTTTTACTGGTTCGAGGCGATTTCCCCTCTAGGCGCAGTCGCATTTTTCAACAGCCATGTCCTGGAGTTCTGCATTTCTGATGTCACCATCTTCGTCGAAAATGAGAAGACTTACCGAGGTCATTTTGCTTGGTGAGCAACACGGTCCTGCCACCGCCAAGCGATCCATCTGACTTATTAGCTGGGTGTGAGGGTAGCGGTAAAAATAGTGGTCAGGGCAACTTCCTGAGCAGTAGTTGGCATCGTACGTCCTGGGAGCGATGATCCAGTCCCACCCAAATTGTTGAAAGTCCACAACGAGGGGGTACTTACAACACTCGCGTTCTAGCCGATCCTCAGCACACATCTGTTCACTCTGACGTTTCATCCGTACTCTTCTGGTATCGTCTAGCCGCAGTTGCAGAAAGGGCCTCTGATATAACGAGAGAATGATATAGACGATAGTAAGAGTAAAATGCTAAAGTTGTAACTGCAGCTGCAAATTTTCAGAACATATGTGGAAATGAGACCGCTCAGATTGTGATATTTAATATTGCTTAAGAAAATGTACGAGAGAATGAAGAGATATACAAAATAAAGATATTGTTAGCATGATGTGATGCCTTTTAGCATGACATGGGCGCAGCCATTTTCTTGAAAATGTGACTAACAAGGCGCACTTGTACAAGTTTCATGCACCAAGCTTTAGTTGGAAAGACTTTTTAATTCAATAACAAAACCTTTCTTTAAATTTCAATTGGGGAAATTCATAGCTGAGAAGGTAGAAATTATATTGGTGAAACATATATAACAGGGGAACAATTGTAACTAAAACATTAAAAATACTGAAATATAGCAGTTGACAAATCGATTTTATATATGAGAAACCTTCACCCCATTTATGCAATTTGCGTTCTGGTAACTGTAGTACACCGAATAATAGCAGGTGAATAAAAGGCTTCATCACCACACACGTCTGGGAAAGAAGCATCCCATCAATTTAAGTACATTTACTGGATTTACGGGACGCACGGCCAGCGCATTGGAAATGTGCAATGCGCTGGCCAGGTGCGTTAGGTGTGTGTCGTCATTCGTTACTCGTTCGTCGAGCGCGCTGGACCAACGCTATGCATTCGTCGTCATTCGCTATGTGCGTCGGGATTTTTTGAGCATGCTCAAAAGTGTGCGCAAAGCTCGACACATGAATGTACATGCCAAAAGGACGCCAGACATGCGCGGAGCGCGCTAGACCTACGCCATACATACGCGGAGCACACGCCTTGTAAACGCGTAGCGCGCTAGCAACACGCTATGCATTCGGTGTCAGCTCGCTAGCTTCTCCCAAATCCTGACAAAAGTCGGACTCACGACTTTTTCCGATTTTCAATGCGCGGGCCGTGCGTCGTCTATGTGTGACCGGGCCATTATCAAGAAAATGGCGATGCCCATGTCTTGCTGAGAAACTGCATTATTCTTGCGTAATGCCTCTTTCATACACTTTGATAGGGAATCTTGTACATTAATGTGCAAGAATATACTAAATCTCTCAGACTAATTTTAAGATATTTTTCTAGAGTGAGGTTTCCGTTTACATTCTTATATATTTTACTAAGTGGCATCTATAACAGTTTTGAAGCTGCAGAACTAGAACGCTTGAAAGGAAATTCGCTAACGTTTATGCAAATGTAAGTTGAATGACACATGAACGAAAGATTATTGTTTAATGGACAGATATTTTTTCTTCTCGAATCAGTCTTGCCGTTGTATTCTCCATTAAAAAAATTCAATCTCGACTATTAGGCATGTCAGGAAGAAGGAATGGTCAGAGCGATTACATGGAGCATTACTCACTCTTGGTTCTTCTGTCGAAGTCTCAGTTATGAGCACAGAATTGCCTGCATCGTCTTCGAGTTCCAGCACGATGCCAAGGTTGGTCTCAGGTTCGGCCGCCCAGCCTTGCACAACGTTGGTGAAGTCAACGCTCCTCCACGCCCCGACTCTTAAACTTAGCTGCACCTTGATGTTTGCAACTAGACGAAGCTTGGTCTGTCCTGGAGGGTGCAGTCGAGCCGTGATCATTTTGATTGTCATTTGGTGGAGTGTGTTCTGGACTACTTTGGCGGGGGACACGTAAAAGTAAAGCTTGGCACTTGACACGTGGTATCCCACTATTTTCTCGGCAACGTTGAAGTAGCAACAGGACGGGGCGTCGGTTCCATGCGTCTGGAGCGCTGTGGAATAAATGAAATAGATAACGCGTCATGATCATTCGAGGAAAGCTAGTAACATAAAAAAAGAAATGACAAACTGAGCGCCGATCCATCTCTAGAAGGGTCGTATCCTCCTATTGCCTCATAAACCCGAGATATTCCAACAGTGAAAGTAATCTGGAGGGCGTTTCGTCACCCCTCTAAAAGGTCCAATACTTCGACAATGTTGTCCACCTGAGGATATATTCAATGACTTTTGGACAAATTGGGAAAAGAAACAGGAGTATGGTCTTTGTTGTCACAGCGGTGTTGCCCGACTATTTTTTAGCAGTTTAATGATGATGGTGTTGCAGCAAGTTATCGAACAGTTGCGGATATCTTGTTTTCAATCAAGCAAACTTCATTCTCGTATGATTTTCAATTTGTGTTTAGTTGTCTAAAAAGAAAAGGTAATTAGAATTTTCGCACGCCGAAAACGTTAAGAATAACTTCGTCCTCTCCTCGGAAAAAAAGAAGAAGAAAGAAATGGTTATCCTCTTTACTTTTAGATGTTATTGTGTATAAACCAAAAATCATCTATGATCTGTTATTATCTTCTCTTTTTGACATTTAGCACATCACTTAAACATCTTGTTCGTCCTATAATAAGTAGCCTATCGTGTGCTATTAGTTTGAGCACACTAATAAACTGGTTACAAACACCTGCATGATTCTTTACAGTAGAGATGAAAACAGATCTGGGGGTGTTTCATAAAGCTGTTCGTAAAGTTACGCATTACTTTACGAACGACTTGAATACGAAGTGCCAGATAGGATGCCCGAAGTTTTTCCTGATGTTTTAACAAAGTGTGACTATATTGCCAATAACCTCAATTAAATTATGGCAAAAAATACACTTTGCGTTAAAATGTTTATTATAATAAGAATATATATCTGCACAGTGCAACTTTAGTCCATGCTGTTAAAAAATATTTGAGCACCCCATTTGGCTTTTCATATTTAAGCCATTTGTAAAGTCATGCGTAACTTTACGAACAGCTTTATGAAAAAAAACCCTGGTAAAGGGAGAAAACTGTTTCTTCAAGAGTCTACCTTGGTAGCAAGATGCTAAAGGGAAAAACATGCGTCAGTAATCCTTTCGTTACATCTTTCGATGGCCAAAGTATTTAGTTTGTTATATTGACATGGAGCGTATAAATACGACTCGAATAGGAAGCAAGAGTGACAGATCGTGAAGAATACTTGTCAATCTTGTGCAGGTGTGAGAAGGACAATGTCTATTGTCTGACTGTCATGTTAAGTAGGCTCTTTACACAGGGGCAACTCTAAGGCGTACTTCGTGATGTTATCAATAAGTACTTTTTGATCGCAAGCCAGCCCAACAAAATGGATGCGCTTTTCAAACTCTAGGCAGATCTTTTGTTGTACTTGTACCGTTATAAACAGATTATTTGTTTCTGAAAGCAAATGGCAAGATTTGGTAAACAGCCATGACAAAGCAAGAGAAACGCGGCGCCTCGGCCACTTGGCTAGAACACAAAATTCAGTATCCACGTGTTCAAGGATGTCAAGTGCCCAGAAAACGCCAAGAGAAAATCTGTTATCATTTGTATTTTGTGAGAGTGTATTTTTGCAATCACTTGGATACCATACAGAGCAAATCGACATTTTGATTAGAAGAAAAAAAATATTATTCTATATTATTTTATGAATCAACTGTTCATATTGGGTCTAAGTGGTAATAAACAGGATTTATTACGGTACTTGATATAAAGAATGTCAAGTTTTAAAAAAATAAAATAAAATGAGTAAAAATTGAATGGCAAATTATTATTCCACTCCGCACCGATACGGGGTCCCCACGTCCATTCAGTCTCACTCTCATAATCGAGACACACAAACGTGTAGGAAATAATCAAGATGAAATCATATAAATGGTGTTGCTATTATTGTGAGGCTAAGTAACATTGTTATTAATTCGACTGATTGCACTTTACAGTAGCTGCCCTGTCATATTAGGAGGGACAAGGTCATAGATTCAGGACTATTAGATTTAGTATCTATACCGAAAGCAGTAGATTTCAGGATTGTTCCCCCGATTAATCAAAATCAAATGTCAAAAAGAATATTTCAGGGTGGGTAATGATCTGATCCAGCCCATTGTAAGAGACATGCAGTCCTGTTCGCATTATGCAGAAAGGATGAAATTATGTAAACAACTTAACCGTTCTTTCTTTCTAAATTTGACACCCGATCATACTAACAAAGTTGACTCTCAAATGTTGAATTCAAGTCAAGAACTTTGTGTTGCTATAACTTCTTAAAGGTAGTATGTCCCTTTTGCAGCCAACCTCAAATGCTGTAGAACTTTGCAGGAATTATGAATATGTCATGTATATGTCCTATCTGTGAAATTTAAACGTTAGCAGTGTCCTCATATTCAAATTATGCAAGGAAACCCGTTTACTTGCTAGAGTTCACTGTCAGACACTATTGAGTGACTGACTGGCTTTTTTCTTCTTTGGTAATAACATACATGAAAAGAGTTGTAAAGGGTACATGAATATTTGTCTACATCAATAACCCACTTCTTGTGATGGCCAAGATTAAACTGATTGAATCTTTGCGCAGCATAAAACTTATGACCATTCGGTACAATTGTCTGACAATCAAGACTATTACTTTTGGGCTCTATAGCCCTAAAGTCGATTTGACAACTAATAGTCGTTATTTTCCCACTTGAAGACGTTTTCAAGCCCCACCTTTTTTAGGGAAGTTCTAAATTAGTATTATCTTTCAAATGCAGTTGGAATTTAACTTTTTCATTTTTTGGCCTGCAAATGGGACATAGTACCTTTAATGAATAGATATGTAACATATTTTTTTGCACAAGACTTAGTACTTCGTAATAATGGGCAAATTTCTTAAAGTTACAAAAAAATTCGCGTCTCCAAATATGATATTTGGAAAATAATGAGTTTTTGTTAGATATAACATTTATAAGACTTTTACCGCTTTCAACTGAAAACCCAAATTTTAGTCTCATACTTTGGCCTGCTAATGATGTTGCATGTTATTCTAAGACGTAAATGAGTTATCTGACACGCCCAATATATACAAAATGATGCGACGAGGTGAAACCGAGAATCTGTTTCCTGTAATCGTGACGTTCCAGCATTTATTGCTGATGATATAATTATCGACATTTGGGCTGTCATCAAAAGGAATACCAACTGTGTTGTAACGTGTTTAAACAAACAAACAAAATCGAAGAAAGGATCTAACACTCATCTGTCTCACTCGTACGCATATCTATTCCTAGATATTCAAAAATCTCCAATTATGACTCACAGTTCTTCCCTGCCTTCATATCTTGCGTGCCACATACCGCACGATGCGGTAGACCTTCTCTCTCTCTTTCTCTCTCTCTGTCACGATCGAATTCAGTTTATTGATGAATCGGCCGGGTGACGTCATATCTTACAACAACCCTTAAACATGGCTTTCAATAGACGGGGTGCTTTTGAAAACCTTCTTGCGAAGGTCTCGATCGATATTGGCAACACTTGAGTCCAGACCGGGAGATCATTCCCATGGCACGCGTTAAACAATTTACCCGCTGGTTACAGATAATTAATGCAAAAACATGGAGGACAAGTTTTCTGTCATATCAAGCACATATTGTGCGAAAGGAAGGAATGCATTCCACCCATATCTTTTGAGAATTTAATCACGTTTCTCTTCTCCCCAATGCTATCTTCTCTTTATGTAATTTTTGTACTTATTAATTTTTTACTAATCTAATCGTACTTAAAGCTACGATTAACTTTTTAGAGTTAAAGGAAAACTTTACCCGCGGAACACGAATGCTCATGTATTCGCTCTGACCATTTCTTCCTCATGACAACATGCCTTCTAGTCGAGATTGAATCTAATGGAGAATACAAAGGCAAGACTGATTCGAGAAGAATAAGTTTCTGTCCATAAAACAATAATCCTTCATTCATGTTTCTTTCAACTAACATTCTTATCAACGTTTAATTAGCGAATTTCCTTTCAAACTTTCTACTTCTGCAGCTTTAAAACTCTTACAGGTGCCACTCAATAAAATATATAAGAATGTACGCATTCTTAAAATAATTCAACCAATGGTTAAAAAGAAACCTAACCCCCCAAAATAACTTAAATTATTCTGAAAGATTCATATTCTTGCCCAAAATCAACAAGATTCACCAAATCATTTTCTTGATAACATGACGTCTTTTATGTGAAGTCATTTATCCAGTAAATGTATTTAAATTGATGGGATGCTTCTTTCCCAGGTGTGTGTGGTGATGAAGCCTTTTATTCACCTGCTATTATCCGTTGTACTACAATTACCAGAACGCAAATTGCATAAACGGGGTGAAGGTTTCTCATATATAAAATCGATTTGTCAGCTGCTATATTTCAGTATTTTAAAACGTTTAAGTTACACTTGTTCCCCTGATATATATTTTCCCAGCTATGATTTTTCCTTATTGAAAAGTAAAGGTTTCATTAATGATTTAAAAAGTCTTTCCGACTAAAGCTTGGTGCATTATACATGAACAACTTCAAATGGTACGTCACATTTTCGAGAAAATAATTGCGCCCATGTCATGCTAGAAGGCATCACATCATGCCAAGAATCTCTTGTACATTTTCGTAAGGAATATTGTACATCAGAGGGCATGAATACATCTCATTTTCGAAATATCTCCGCTTATTCTTTTGGGTGATGGAAATTGGTTGATCAGCGTACTTCACTATAGATATATTAAAAATTACTTACAGCTTGCTTAAAAGAAAAATTATTTTCTCGAGTGTATGAAAAGAGAAATTTGTGTCTATTGTATTTCTTTGTTTTAGTGCACTAACTAAATGGATCTGACAGAAAATTGTCACAGTTAAATATGTATTAAATACTTCATCCACAACGGTAGTTGGTTCCATTAAAGTCATGCCAAGCCAATAGATGGGTCCCGCTCGCGGTTCACCTGAAGCTACAGAAGCGTGTGAAGTATAAACTTCCTGCACCGTTAGACAAATGATAGTGTCTTCATTTGAGAACACGTCAGTGGCATAGTTACATGGGCACATGCCCCCCCCCACCCAAGCGAAAATACGAAAACAAGAGAGAAACTAAAGAAAAGCAGAGAAGATGAAAGAGAAAGGGGGAAGGGCAGAGATAGTAGGACACCTTTCCGCACCCTTCGCTGGCCTTGGTAATTCGCATCTTATTTCTCGAGTAAGACCGGCATTGACATCACAAAGGGAGGCCCTTGTGTTCATGGGAAGTTAAGATAGTCATAACATTATGTGTACGCCTACTCCCTCATTCTCAGTCGAACAGTGAATTGGACTATCAACACTTTCCGTCACATTACTCCAATCGCCATTTTAAATTAACCTAAACCCTTCCCTCTCTTAACTACTCACGGTGCGCGCGCGCGCGCGCGCGCGTGTGTGTGTGTGTGTGTGTGTGTTAATTGTTATGTTTAATATATTTTGTATTCAGAAGTGCATCAATCAGATGTGATTTTTGTTACGTCTAGGGACCGACCTTTGACCCCCCACCACTCGAAAGTTGGACTCAGTTTCGAACCAGATCCCCCTGAGCAGTATGTAGGCGAATACAGAGAGCTGACCAAATGAATGTACCGCTAGACCAACTCACATCACATTGAGATGTCCCCAAATTATCACAATTATCATTCTATATAAAATCGTTATTCCTTTGTTAAAACTGGAATGTTTAGCATTAAAAGAAATGTAGTATGTTTCCCCGCTTAGAATGGGAAGATACCTAGGAAAGGGAAAGGCATAATAACCTTCAATTTAGGCCAGAATTTATTTGTATTGCGTTGCCACGTATATGAGTCATTCAGTGAAACCAATGTTTAATTGGTTATCGGTGATGTTCTATTGAGAAGGTTAACCTTTTATCCCTTGATAACATACTGGGTAGGTCTACGTATAAAGCGTTTGATCTATTATAATATATTTTAAAAATTTGTAACTCTAAAATTCACAATTGCAGATTAACATAAGTTTTGTGACATTTACTTCAAATCATATTGTTAACATTTGAAAGATAATTTGTGGACACATTAAAGGCATCGTTTAACAATGTTAAATCTGAGATGCATGGTCCTATGTGCTATCAGTGTCTGTGATATGGTGTAATATTAATGCCCTAAAAAAATGCGCTTCAAAATGATCATGAAGTGCCTCAAAAAAGTAAAAATATTTGAGTGAACGGTTTTACCATACTCATTTCCCCAATAGTATTATATAAACCATTAGGAAAACGAAAAATGAAATTTCGATTTCCAATCATAAATATCTTGATAATCAGACAGGCAAACGGCTTGTAAGAGTCATAGGATTCCTGACTGACCTAAAGGTTTATAATTATGATTGCAGCATGAGCTAAGTCCAGGATTTTGTTTCAGAACCTGAGGCAATGTTACCGAGTCACTTTAAAGGTACTTTGTCCCGTTTGCAGGCCAAACAAAAGAAAAGTTTAATTTCCAACGGCATTTGAAAGACAATTCTAATTTAGAACTTCCCTCAAAACGAAAGGGCTTGACATGGCTTTTAGTGGGAAAATAACCATTAGTTGTAGAATCGACTTAAGTGATTGCAATCACATAAGTAATAGTCTGATTTCAGACCCTTTAACCAAATGGTTGTACGTTTTGTGCTGCACAAAGATTCAATCAGTTTAATTTTGGTCAATACAAGTATTGGGTTATTGATGTAGACAAATGCTCATTTACCTGTTACAGCTCATGTATATTATTACCAAAGAAAAAAATTGTCAGTCAGTCACTCAATAGAGTCTAGAAGGTAAACGGATTTCCTTGCATAATTTGAATACTAGGACACTGCTAATGTTTAAATTTCACAGATAGGACAAACATGACATATTCATAATTTCTGCAAAGTTCTACACAATTTGATATTGACTGCGTAAGGGAAATAGTATCTTTAAATTAAGAAGATTTTTGTAGGGGTAGTTTATCTAGAATAAGACATTCATTTTTTTTCTTCGCACTTTATCCCACCCTCTACTACCAGGTCAGTCCCTATCAGTTTGGAACATATAGTTTTGTAGAATACCTGGTAAGATCTAGGAGTAATAAAGGGTAAGAATATTTAACATGTTTAAGAAAACACTGAAGATCTATCTCTTCTTGCAGTAGTGTTGTACTTATCTCTAATGTTTGTGTTAACCAATTTCATATTATAAAGAGCGTAGAGAATTATGATTATTACGCGCTACACAAATCTAACATAATGATTATTATATGAACGTCAGACAAGCTCTTTCCTTATAATTTAGACCCCCCCCCATCCGTTTAAAATATTCCTCTGATTTTGTCAACCTAGCAAGAGCGGTGAGTGCACAGTGTGCTGGAGCACTTGGGTCCCCCACCCACACATACACACCCTCTTAGGCACGCACACAACTAACCAAAATTGATATTTTGAATTACTTGACTATACAATCATTATGGTATAAACATTAAACAATGTATAGGTGCCCTAGAACACTTTCGATCGTGTGGGCATGGTGCTTGTAGAAAGAAAATTGCTCACGCAAGCTTCAGGTTGCCCATGGGTTTCCTATAGGTTAGTCCACGGGTTTACCAAAATGAATCAATATTTCTTTTCAGAAGAGGTCCTCTGATTTGAAATGATAGAGTACCTAAAAACAAAATTTCGACCATACATAGGGGAACCCTTGTGCACATCAATCTCCTTTCTAATAATCGACGTGCGCAGTGCGCACCCTACTCTTATCTTAAATAGTGACTTTCCACTGAATTCATCACATAAATTGCAAGCGTCTCATGCAAGAAGGTCATGATCCCGGATCGAAACTTTCAGATATACGAGCAAATGTAACCAAAAAAGGCTATTTGCTTTTAAATGACAGTAATCATGTTGATGGAAAATCATACGGCAATTTCCAAGAAATAGTATTTCATAATTAAAATTATTCAATATTTGCAATGATATGAATGTTCAAATGCAAATAAGTAATATTTGAAAAAAAAATCAATGGCTCCGTCAAGCTTTATCCTTGCCCACGCTCGTACCTATTTGAGTATGCTAGGCGTATACAGTTGCCCCTCCTCTTATTCACAAATTTTATCCAAATAGCACTTCTTATGTGTTACATATGAAAGTTACCAAAATGATTTGTGGTTTTAAATTTCTAGCGATATAAAAATTCACTGTTACCTTAAACGTGAGGAAACTGTAATCATGTTGTTTTCTATGCTACTTTAAACGCAGGGACGTCGATCAGTTTATCATGATGGTGCCTCGGGCAAGCACATGTTAATTAAAGAATACGCTCCGAGGGGGTAGTTCAGGTTAAAATTATTTTGGGGGTACCCCCTCCGCCTCACCCATGCCTCTTTAATCAACACCCTTACTTCCACTATTTTCAATGTGTAAGCATGACATTTTCTTTTGTTTTGTTAAGGACATACATAGACTTCCTAGTCTACTTTGCGCTTTTAAAATCAATAGTACTGTTTTGTATTAGACCTATTATCATCATCTTTTATCAGTTTTGCTCTAATGATTGTTCTTCTTATTATCATTATTCTCATTAATATGATTTATTTACAGACAATAATATATTAAAAATTAAGCCATATAGTGAGCAACTTGTTCGTTGAGATCCCGGTGCTAAGACTCGAAAAAGAAGTTTATTCTTAAATGTTACACTAATAAATCTCGAGACTCCCTTCCAATAAGCATGATTGGTGTAACTATCTGTTTGAACTGTTGAAAGGATGGTAAAACCATCGTCTTTGGCAAATAATAATGTGAATGTTAACAAAATTATTTACTCACGTCTTTTGGCAAATATGAGGATCCTTTCAAGTTGTGCTGGGGCAGGGTCGATGTACTCGGTCTGTGGTGAATCTGACTGGACCGAAGGATTGTTCTGGTACTGTGGATAATTTTGTAGCAAGTTTTTAATGGCTGGGTTCTTGGGCGGAGGTCCTGTGATATTCGGAACATGCGTCATCTGTAGTTTCTCCAGGATGCGTCTTTTGATACTTTCAATGCGGAATTGTTTCTGCTGTTCCCGTAACCAGCACGGTGGACAGGTGGATAATTCCGGTGGAGGGGTCATTGCGTCTTCGCTCCCGTTTGACGCGCTGGTCAGATCGGGGTCTGGGCTACCGTCATCAGCGTGGACGTCTGATGAGGTGTTTTCGGCGAGGATTTCATCGGGCTGTTGATGGGCGGACATGGGGATGATGCCAGCGCGTCGCCTCCATGACGGGGGATGACTCGCTATCGTTAGGCAGACGAACTCGACGATGACTAGCGCCAAGTAGACGTAATGATTGAGCTGGGCCATTTTTTGTTTTAGTGCAGGGGGTTGTGATGTGTTCCTCTTCCAATGTGTGACCCGGTCCGAGTGAACTTGTGGGTGTAATCCCCGCGTATTTATTCCTACCGGTGGCGTGGAGATCAAAAAGAGGGTGGGGTGTGCGTAGCTTTGTAAGTGTGCGTGTGTGTGCGCGTGTGTGCGTGTGTGTGCGTGTGTGTGCATCAATGGCTGCTTCGCCGAGTAGCAGTGAACAGCTGATCGAAGATTTCTTGTCTTTTTGCCCAGGTCAGTGCCGGGGCCACTGGCCGTACTCAACGCCCATTGGCTGACCAGGCTTGGCAAGGAGAACGTATCGACCAATCGACAGAACAAGCGTGCGCATGGTCCACGACTCCTTAGCAACAGGCAGATGAGCCCATAACAAAAGCTTAGCACACTCCCCCTTCTTTCCACCACGGCACCTCCCATCTCACACAAACTGTGTACAAGTCCCACACGAGCTCCTCACTCGGCTGACAGAAGAACATACATGAAAAGAGATAAAGAAATTATATTCAAGATCACTTTGTAATTCAATGTGAATTTAACGATTCAATGCCATTCGTGTATCATTGGCGAGTGTGTGCTACCCCTCGTCGATGTCAGGTAGTGAATCATAGAGCGAAACTTCTCTCTCTCTCTCTCTCTCTCTGCTTCAATGGGACCCCGGGCAGCGATCAGCTGATCACCAGCTGGAGCCGGTTATTATATTCGTATCCCCCTCTCCCCCCCCCCCCCTCTCTCTCTCTCTATCGTTCGCGAGTGCATTCCAAGCTATACCTTCTATCTCTTCGAGACTTTCCCATAGCTCATATTTTCTTCTGCCAGCGGTGTCCTACTGCTATATTTATTTAGGAGGCAGTAGAATAAACTGATGAAGAGAAAGAAAACAAAAAAGAAGAAGAATAAGTAGAAGTAAATCCATAGAACTGTGTTTTCGGAGCTTAGGTACACGGAATTTTGACTTTAGGGACAACAAAAGATGTTTTAATCTTCAGATACATTAATGTGTTTAAAGTTGTTTGGGGGAATAAATGAAGTCAAAATATGATTTTAAAATAATTTTATCCTTTTTCCCCCTCGTAATTCTAAATGCACCCCTTATCGCGCGAGATTAGTTGAAATTATGAGTTCAAAAGTATTACATTTTCTTAGAGTATCGGTTGTAGTTTCCCCTCCTGATTAATATGTGCTGATCCCTGACACATTTGATACCGGAAGAAAGAGAAAATCATGAATATTTCAAATGGGTGGTACTAAGTAAATATTGAGTGAATATGTGTTTATTTTTGGTTTGAGAAAGGAACCGATTGCTCAAATTTAAACTCTAATATATATTTTTTGTATTTTGTATTTTGTATCTGTTTTCATTTTATCGAATCTTGTAAACATATGATTCTCATGTTTTGCTATAATGAAATATACAAAGAAAAAAACCCTCTGATATAAAGAAATAAACTTTGGTGATTAAAATCACAAACAAATAGCAATAACTTCGTCAAATTCCAACCAATTCCCTTGAATGAGGTATCATATAAAATGTAATTCCTCACTCTTTCAAGTAATACCAATAACTCAATTTTCATTTTTACTATGAAGTGTTGGGTTTTACCATAGCAGAATACACATACAAACACACACGCGCGCGCGCGCGCGCACACTATATCCAGTTGGCTCGCCCACGGATAGTGATTAATACAAGCCTTTATTTGAAAGTTATATAGCAATTCCAGACAGATCTATTAGCTCTGGAACTTAAAGGTAAAACAAAGTTTTGGGAAATTTTTGAAAATTGGGTGGATAGTGATTCTTTACAATTTTGAATATTTGGATGCCCCTGTGGATGTTTTATAAGCACTAGAAAATTTAGCCCCTAAAATACTTCTGCTTTCGAGACAAATTGAATATAAAAATTTACCGGTGCTCCCGGTAAATGTTGATAAATGTCAAATAGCGCCTACGGCCGAACAATGGAAGCTGTGGCTATGTAGTTTTGATATATAATTTCCAAACGGGAATAGCTATTCGGTCGATTTTAGTCAAGAACCATTGTTTTATAGCTTAATTAATATCTTGACTCTGAGAGGTAGCTATACAACATAAAGAGTTTATCATTTACAATTTTATAACTTTAGACTCCATTTCAACCGCTGAATATTGTAGGATCGCATATGCTTCCAATATGTTCATTTGAACCAAGTTCATGACCCCATACCAAAACTTTGTATTACCTTTAAGCTGAAGTCATTTATAACTGACTCACAAAGGGGACTCCACTCGCGCAGAACATGTACATGCTAGTGGCCCGATCAAAACCTCTATCGTTCAGACAAAGGAATTAGTACAAACACTTAACACTTAACATGCCAAACCTGCCAGTCACAACAACAGGACGATACCTGATGCAATCTCAACTACGTCAATATCGTCCAAACGTCAAACCAACTGACCGATGTACTTGTAATGGGCGATTCGATGCTGTGGAAAATAAAAAACCCAAGAAACTTTCAAACTCGAAATACAATATGTATGTGTTTGTACACGCTCCCGGGGGCTAAAGTTGAGCAGATATTTGGAGCCTCTGCTCCCCTACCCAATGATCTCAAACGAAATGAAATAATCATTCATGTTGGGAACCATAACATACACATGAGCAGCATGAACTTGTCGCGATGGTGGAATCGATGGCTTGTATCTCTCAAAGTCTTGCCCGTCAGTAAAGCGGATCATCTGGAACTCTATCATTCAAAAGAAATCCTGTCTAAAGCAAGTTGATGCAGTCAATACTTTGATGCAATCCATGCGGGCTAAACATGGATGGGCAGTCATTGATAAAGCCAACATCTATGTCTGTCGAGCCGCCAAGACGGCATGCACTTGAAGCTGGAGTTCGACGTTTCGCCAAACGTTTCAACCATCTCAGCGTAGAGCCCACCACAAGGGGGCGCCATCTCTTCGACGTAGGAGTAAGGAACGGCACTTGGGCACCAGTGTACTCTCCCCAATATGCCTCGGAGTCATCAACTTTTGAATATTCTTGCCGTTTCAACTGCGGTGAGATGAATCACAGCAGATTTAGTTAGAGATTCAACACCATGATCAAATGTCATCAAAGTATGTGTAATAGACATAAATTCCAACCACGTTTCAATATTACAATCTCGGCCAGGAAGAGAGTGCCGACCTAAGGCGGTACTAGTCACCAATGCACTCAGCTATGATAAATTACAATTCATCTGAACACACTAACACGCAACATATGTGACATCAGATGATGACTTTGTTGATGAAAACGGAACAAACCCGAATAGAAATGATAATTACTCTCATGAAAGCTTTGATGAATCTCTTCTGAAGCGCATGGTATAACTCCAGTACTTCATTTTGCGATTCCATACCGAATCTGAAAACATTAACAGAATCACATCTTTCCTACAGCAACACATGTGACCAATATTACCTTATTATATTATGATAATAAATTCTACTACTATCGATTATAATCCTGATTATAGTAATTATAAAAATGTATGCAGGCATTCTTCGGAATCATGTTGGTCTTAAGATTGCACATTGAGATGTCCACAGTATACTTAATAGAGCTGACGAAATAACCTTTCTCTTAAACAAACTTGGACGTGATACACTCTGTATCTTAAACATGGTTTAACAGTTTGGTAAAAGATGATGCTGTTAGAATCGATAGATATGGCTTAGCAGGCGCGTACGCAGGGGGGGGGGGGGGGGGGGGGGGGGGGTTTGGGGGGTTAAACCCCCCCCTTTAGAAATTTTTTGTGTGTAAACCCCCCTAAAAAAATCTAAAACCCCCCCCTTTTGGATTTTTTTTTTTTTTTTTTTTTTTTTTTTTTTTAATTATTAAAAAAAAAAAAAAAAAAAAAAAATTATTCCCATGGCCGACCTAAAAAAGGTGACCTTACCCCCCCCCCCCAACGGAGCAAAATGTCAAATTTCCAAATTTCGAGACCAAAAAAAAAAAAAAAAGTGTCCTCTTACCCCCCCCCCCCCCCCCCCCCCCCCCCCCCCCCCGCTTATTCAGCGGTCGGCTGAGTCGTTGCGATTTTTTTGGACCAAAAAAAAAAAAAAAATGTGTCCTCTTACCCCCCCCCCCCCCCCCCCCCCCCCCCCCCCCCCCCCCCCCCCCCCCCCGCTTATTCAGCGGCTGGCTGAGTCGTTGCGAAATTTTCGGACCGATTTATAAATGTTAAAACCCCCCCCTTGAAAAAATCCTGCGTACGCGCCTGTGGCTTAGTGAGACATGATATATGTGCCTGGTGGTGGTGTCTGCATCGGCTTACTTCGAATCATCGGGTCGGGTGGTCGCGTTACCGAACATTATGTGAAAACGTGCCCCGTATTCACGAAATGTCGATGGTAATGTTTGTGACATAAACCCCTATTGGTCTGGTCCCATTTACTCAACACTTTGTGAAAACCCTACGGAAAATCTACAAAAGGTCGCGTCCACTCCCCCCAAAAGGATAACTTTCGATACGAGCGGAAAAATCTAGACTAGGTAACTAGAACAGGTAAAAGTAATGATGACGTCTATGCCGACATTGACTATAATAAGATTTTTTTTTTTTTGCAGGGGGGGGGGGGGGTAATTGTGTGGGTTTTACAAAATCGATGATATTTATGAACACTATGGGCGGAATCATCCACGGTGTTGGAATAAATTTACTTTCACGCAAATGAGATCTGACGATGTACTGAAATTACTATTAAATCTGTTATCCTGTAGTAATACCGATATTCTTGATGTTGATTCAAAGTTATTACGTTTAGCTGCACAACTTATCTACTAGTATTTAATGATAGTTATGATCTTTTTTTAACACCAGGAATATTCCCGGATGCCTGGAAATATTTAAAAGGGAATCGAACTCTGGTCTCTGGATTGAAATGCCGATGCCTTAACCACAAGACCATGGCGACCGGCCAGTGCGCAAGTATAGTATTCTTTCAGTTCCTGACACTTTGCACAGATGTATTTATTTCCACGAAAGTTTTACCTTTTTTTAG